TCTTTCCCTGATCTTCTCTATGGAAGCCTAGAAAGGGAGTGGTGGGGGAGTTATCTTACAATGGGCTTCAGAGGCAGCAAGGTAGCTGTGCTGTGGATAGGGGAGGAGGAGGTGGTGGTGTGTTGGGAAGGAGGAATCACCAAGAGCCCATGCAGTCAGAAGAGGAGCTGTCTGTGAGGGGGAGAAGCAGTGGCCATGGAAACAGGTGGGATCAGAGAGAGAGAGAAGGAGGGACAGAGGGCATGAGTGAAAGAAAGTCAAACACAGGAAGTAAGAGAAGGGGAGGGGGTAGGAGATAGAGAGAGGCTGAGAGAATTGGGGGAGAGGGGAGGAAGCAAAGGTGGGAGGAACGGGAGGACTGCCCCCACAAGTTCCTTGAGGATCCCCACTTGTATTTTCTCATAGTCTAGTGTGCTCCATCTGCAAATACCTAGGGGAGGCCCCAAGACCTGCAAAACATCCAAAAACGTTAAAAAGATTTTTTTAAAAAGAGATGAGCTGACTACACAAGCACAGAGAACTGTTCTTTCAATGCAGGTAGGTGTGTTGTGAGGAGCAAGTGAGCCTCCACTTTCCCCCCCAGTGCCTGTGTGGCCAACCAGGGGAGTTGCTACTGCCACCAAGGTGGCAAAGCAGCCAGGTGGGTGGGGAGTGACTGCTGGTGACAAACCAGTGGGAGAGGCGCTGGGTGAGTGGCTGGGTGGAAGAGCCCTTGCTGAGGTGGTGAACTGGTGAACTGGTGGGATGGGTGGTTGGGTGGGCAGCTGGGCTAGCAGGGGAACCATGGTAGCCACTGAAGTTGAGGTGGAGAACTGGTGGGATGGGTGGCTGGACAGCTGGCCAAGCAGGGGAATCACCACCAAGAACCACCACATTAAAAGAAGTGGTAGGGGCAGGGTGGTCAGTCAAAGCAATGAGGGTGGGGGATACAGCAGCTAGGGAGTATAGGCAGGCAGAGCAATGAGGGTGAAGGGTGAGCAGAGCAGTGAGGTTAGAGTTTTAAGGAGGGGGGGCAAATATGCAGAGCAGTGAGGTGACAGTGAAATCAACGGATAGAGAAAGGCGGCTGGGGGTGGTGTCAGAAGCCAGAGGACTAAGCAGAGACCAGTGAAGGAATCTTCCTGTGATTTTGATCTAGACCAGAAGCTAATATGGTACCTAAATTTAGCATCAAACAGCTTTGGACTATCCTTTTGCATCCATT